ACGACCTCAGCATGCGACCCTTCATGCAAGGGTTCCTGCTCTACTGTGAACGCTGGTATGATGTCCGACTCAATCTACCCACAGCTTTCATAGACAACTGGTACCCTGCTAAGAACCGTCTTCCGAGGCTACACAAGCTGTTCATCGGCAAGAAGTGTGGGCCCAATGATGTATTCGCATCAGCCCCTCGACTACGGCACTTGTATATGGCTCCCTCGTCCTACACACCATCCGACTTCCAACTTCCCTGGAGCCAATTGCAAATTTGTGATATGGGGATAAAGCGTAGGAGTGATGAGTGTCTTGAGCTGTTGCGGTTGGCACCGGACCTGGAAGAATGCATAATATGGCCGTACACCAGCAGCGAAGTATCACATGCCCCCGCTCCGATTTCTCGCGTGCATCGCATGCAAATTTACCAGAATCCGATCCCTTTCCTCAATAAGCTGCTGCTACCAGAGCTTCGTGAACTCTTTCTCGACGGTAATGATTCCTTTCCGTGGATAGCTACCCCACAACTCCCACCACTACTCGACCAATATCCGCTCGAATTGCTTTCTTTCCAATGTTGCCATCGAAGTTCTGCATACTCGAAGACGCCACTGCTTGCTCCGAGACTACGGACGATAAAGGTGGATTACGACCCACGGGAATTCGACATGCTGGCGTTTGCCGATGCCATTCAGTCACGCGTGACACTAGACGGCGTTCTAGATTCTGAAAACACGTCGGTCACGAAACTGGAGACAGTTGAAATACGTGTTCGGCATTTTTCGTGTCTTGACCCAGCAGTACGACTGCGGCTGTGTCAGTTGAGGGATATCGGGTTGAAGATAACCTTGTTGGAACTTGAACCGTCCGATAGGTAGTAGTATAAAAATATTCTGCAAAGTTTTAATCTACAGAATAAAGACTTTGTTTGACTCTGTGTGCAGCTCTGGGTTGGTCTCCAGTAGATGGCGTTTGATAACGGGGCAATTTCTGTTTCCATTAGGATGATAAACAAATTGTCGACCAAGACAACTAATTGATCCATTAGTCGGCTTGCTAGTAACCCATTCCTCAAACCGAATCACATTACTGCAACTCCAGCATAGTCCTAACAAACAGCAGATTGATCGACGACGCCCTCCCGCCATCTGCTCATGCCAAGAAGATTCAGTTGGCAGAGATGGCCATTATACAATTAACAGCTCTAAAACATAGTCGATCCAAGCTCTGTAGCTCCTTGCATCCAACCACCGCCATATCCTCTGTATCCTCTTCAATTCTTCCTCCTTTCCCTTCAGCCGTGTTGAAACGACCGGAATTACAAGCTCTGGCGAGCCCTGTATAGCCTGAATGATCTCCAATCCCGCATCGCGCATATATATCTTCTTAATCACCCGCCGGTGTATGCTCTTCTATCCACAGAGTATAGTCATCGACTTGAACGACCCACAAAATTTAACGAAAGTCTCATCCGTGCAAAGAAAAATACAACTCACGAAAGACGGGAGATTCCTATCTTCCATACATAGGTCTCGAAATCTTCCTATCCAGCCCTCCAAAATAACTCCCGTAACAACTCCACACACACGACGGTCGTACCAGCTCCATATACCTAAAGAACGGGCGTAAGGGGTTTTTTTCCGGAAGTCCTGTTTCTCCCGTGCAGAATGTTTTTCGCAATTTTGAGGGACGTTGTGTCTACATCGTAGGAGTTAAGAGCACGTTTAATGTGGTTGAAAATTTGCAACCGGGCGTTATTCATAGGGATTTTGTGGGTGTGGTGTGGTGAATGGATCGACAACTCGATCGACAGAGGCCTAGTATTATGGTCGGCAAAAGTAATGAGAAGATAATACAATTGTTCGTATAATGAAGCCATTTCTTCTTGTATTTGTTGCCTTCAGATGCCACAAGTTAGCGCTATTCACATACACAGCACCAAGAAAGAAAAAGATCTCACTATGCTCGCAGCAGCAGATATTGTCCTCCTCCCAATTTATTTCCTCTTCTGCGGAATAGCAGCAACCCATACTCCACGCACTGGCAGCCTCATCGAAGCTCAACGTCCTGGACCTCCCGCTGCGTCGCTCAGACGCTATGACCCCCGTCGACCGACTCTTATCTGGTATAAAAACACAGAAAGAAAAGAAATAGGAGCGAGATCTGAGTCATCTTCAAATAGGCAGGATATCCAAAAGTAGTCTTCACGCTGCAGTGGACCATTTAATTAATACACCAGTTAACTGACAGCCCAATAAAATAACAGAAAAGAAAAAAATGTGTAATGGAACAAAAGCGAATCAAAGAAATAGGAAGGTTAATAAATCACATACGTCTATCAGCACGGAGTACGCAGCAAGTAAGCTTGATTGCTGGGCTTTCGGAGCCGTACGTGGTATGGGGCTCGGGTCCGAATCTGGTCATTGGGGTTGAGATCAGAGACGGGCTTGGGATACGAGAGCCAGTCGTAGAGGCGATAGAGATATGTTATTTTTTTTCGGTGCGAGAGGTGGACATCGAATCTGAAACGCCAGTACACCCTGATTTCAACGCAATCTCTGCGCGTGACGCGTCGGGGTAGCAACAGCACGTGAATTTATGTGGTACCCAAATAGCCTAAAAAGTGGAATCCCTGGATTAAGTATTTCTACACGGCCAGAAAATAGTGGAAGATGAATTTTGTTAGCGCAAGAGTTTCAATCCTGTATGTAAACAGTGCAAGCCATATTTACATCAACGAATAGTTGTTCAAGGGTGGAACTACATCTTGACGGCATCGAGGTAGCTCGGCTCGAGTTGGTCATTGTGCTGTCGGTGCTCCGTCGGTGTTGATGCTGGCTTGGGTGTAGGGCTGGGTGTAGGGCTGGCCAGGTTTCGGGCGTTGGCCAAGGGCCTGAGATTGTGCTCAAGGGTGTATCGCCAGCAAATGAAGCGACTGACAGTGTGAGCTCCACGGCAGCTTCAACCGCAACGACGTTTGTAGTACGTAGTTTCTAATATCATGTAATGTTGGCGCTGGATGAAGTATTGGGCATGTTTGGCCGGCTACACTAGCCCTGACGTGGACTCGACTTCGTCCATCGAGAAAGTTTCTACGTTTAGACGCCCGTGGTCACGTAATGGCACGTGAGGGCACGTACCTCAGTGGGTTGCCTCCAACTTAGGAGTACTACTTGAGTACTACCATCATTTTATCTTTTACATAAGCGAGTCCCATATCAACCCTTGCGTTCGTTCCTCAATATTAATACAAAAGGACATACAGTTTCACACATTGAAAGCCACTAAACTATGTCCTCGATCCTCTGCCCCAAGTGTGGATACGACGATATCAAGCTCGATATCCCAATCTCTCCCGTGCCTAATCTACTGCGTGGACACTGCGTTGCCTTGCCGTCAGAGGCACAAATGATTCATGACTCAATGTCGTCCGTGCGTCTCCACATCACTCAACTGGTGGATGAAATGATCCGCCTAAAAGATATCTTCGACAAGCTTGTGCGCAAACGAGGCGCTCTTGAATCATATATAAAGATACACTTGTCACTTTTTGCCCCCATCCGGAGCCTCCCTGCTGAGATCCTGTCGGAAATATTTCTCCATCTCGAGGAGATGACAACCCCTAGCACAACCCCTAGCGAGACTATAGAGTGGACTTGCGGATCACCTAGACTCAACAAGACACCCTTGCTGCTCGGAAACGTGTGTAGTAGATGGAGGACTGTTGCGTTATCCACACCGAGTCTGTGGGCATCTTTTGCGTTGACGATCGAGTCAGACCATTTGGAGCGTAGTACGGCGTTGGCGGAGATGTGGCTTGCTCGAGCTGGTGTATGTCCATTATCCATCAGCCTTGGCACCGTAAGCAACTACAACTCCAGCATGCGACCCTTTATACGACTGGTACCCTGCTAAGAACCGCCTTCTGAGGCTACACAAGCTGTTCATCGGCAAGAAGTGTGGGCCCAATGATTTATTCGCATCAGCCCCTCGACTACGGCACTTGTATTTGGACTCGTCCTTGAACTCGCCCTATTCACCATCCGACTTCCAACTTCCATGGTGCCAATTGCAGTTTTGTGATATGGGATACCAGCGTGGATATAATAGTTGTCTTGAGCTATTGCGCTTGGCACCGAACCTGGAAGATTGCAAAATATGGCCATACTACAGTAACACATCGCATGCCGCCCCAACCCAGGTTTCTCGTGTGCATCGCATGCGAATTCACCAGGATCCGATCTATTTCTTCAACAAGCTGCTGCTACCGGAGCTTCGTGAACTCTTTCTTGTCGATGATGATGGATGTTCGCGGATGGCTACTCCACCACTGCTCGCCCAATATCCACTCGAATTGCTATCTATCCAAGGTTGCCTCGTTGATGATATTGAAATGATCCAAATCCTTCGTAACTGCTCGTCTCTGGTGCAGCTGGAGCTACGGAAGTGTAGCGTCAGGGCCATGACCAAGACTTTCCTCACCCAACTCACATACCATCGAAGTTCTGAAAACTCGCAGATGCCATCACTTGCTCCGAGGCTACGGACGATAAAGGTGGATTACCACCCACGGGAATTCGACATGCTAGCATTTGCCGATGCTATTCAGTCACGCATGACATTGGACGGCATCGTTTTAGATTCTGAAAATACGTCGGTCGCGAAACTCGAGACAGTCGAAATGTGTGCTTCGGAGTCTCATTTCGTGCCAGCGATACAGCCGCGGTTATATCAGCTAAGGGATATGGGGTTAGAGATAAGCTTCCAGGACATTCAGGGATACGACTATTTGCGGGAGACGTTTTTTGGTAGTACAAGGTTTTGATCTACAAATGTCTTTTCGTACCAAAATTTGGTACCCTATGACATGGTTCTGGGTTGGTCTCGAACATATTGTATTTGAAAAAAGGTGATCTCTGTTAACATTAACGTTTCCACTACATTGCCATTATATTATCCAAGTTTTCATCCTCCACAGTTGAATTGTGCATTTCTAAATTAATAATAAAGGGCATATGGTGTAGCTGGTTATCACGCCCGCTTAGCATACTTTATCGTATTCGCTACCTGCGGGCGGTCCTGGGTTCAACTCCCAGTTTGTCCACTTTTTTCCCCCACTTTCCCCCCCCTTTCCGTTTCGCGTTTCTCTTACCGAGCTACCTTTCGAGCTGGTGACGCGCCGAGTATAGTACGTGCGATGCTGACTATGTTGATCAGTCGCGTGTGTCAGTTCAATTTGTCAGCTTTACATGCTCTGATCTATAGGCCATGGCAGACAGGTCTCCACACCTCAACAACGTGTTATTGGTGCGACTCATCGATCCACGCATACGCCTCTCTGGACGACTGTTCCACTTCATCTACGTCTGTTTTCATGACTATTCACTTTATGCTCTCTATCATACGTCCATCTCATAATACTCCAAACCCGTGCATTTCACCGTATGGCCGATCTCCTGCAGGAAACTCGCTCACTGGAGGTTCAAGGGCTTCTAGATGCATCCATTATCCCAGCCGCAAGCATCGATTGCCTAGTGACTGCTGCTCAACAGACGTTTCAGCTCGTTGAGCCATGGTATCAAGCGAAGCCTGCGTTAGTCACCCCAGTTTCACACTTGTACCAATATCCCTGAGTCACATTGTGCAGGTCGGAGCATGCAGTTGTCATGGACATTATTGTTCGCATTCGAGATCACACTGTTGTTTACTTTGACGCTATCGATATGAGTATCAGGAACAGCATGGAAGGAGTTGCGTTTGCGGAGGACGCACTTGCTTTGTGTGACTTCCTATCTCAGAGTCGGCCGCTGGATCTGGTACATTTCATCGATGACATGATTGAGATTGCGGGAAAGGCCCATATGAGTGCTCAGGATACTGTGGACAAGTTTAGATCTGCTCGACAAGGCTTGGTTCAGGTATGCATTCCGTATCTTCGAATGCTTTGAATTGACACTTGCTCTACAACGACAATAGGTCACAAGTACCATGAGCCAATGTATAGATACCCTTCAGAAAGAAATCCTATACGCCGGGAAATCGAAGCGCAAGTACGATCGAATCGCTCGAGTGGCAGAAGAAGCCGCCAACTTAGCAATGCAAGCCGGGCCTTTGAGCGGTCTCATCGGTAGTGGCGTGCCTATCCTTGGGATAATTCTTCCAATAGTGCTTCCTCTTGTTGCATTGGCTGCGAAGAGTGGTCAAAAGCGATGCCAATATAAATCTGAAGGTTTGTACACAACAAAGGCGGTGCAAAAATAGGATTGATATTTTTCATAGCCCGCGCAACTCAAGAACTTTCGGGTCAGGAAGCCCTTTCCCAATTGCATGGAGTCAACACTGCTTTAAATGGTTTACTGGAGCATGTCACGGCGTTTGCATCTTGGTGGTCCAACATCGTTGGCCGCCTGGTTACCCTGAAGAACAATGTCACGCAACCTGGGTTTTTACGATTGGAAACAGGCCGGGTGACTTTGATTAAGGAAAGATGGGTTGTCGTCGGCAATCAGTACAGAGGCTATGCACGTGAGGTAGGTGTTTAGTTTCAAGCTGATTGTTCAATTCGCAACTTTATCTAATGTTTACGTCAGATCAGTAAGTTGCAAGACTTCTACCCGGAGATGTTACGAAGAGAAATTATTACCACGACCATAAACTTTCTAGTGAGCCGGGATGCTATGTACTTTTGCCTCAAACTAACACTGTTATTAAGCCGTCTGAGCAAGGTTCGCATATCTACAGCTATGCTAGTGTATCTCTGACTCTATCTCCTCAATCAGCAGCGGGAACTGCTGAAGGGGTCCCGTCGTCTTCACAGGTAAGGCCAATTCGAATTAGCACCTCCCATAGATCTGCCTCATCTTCTCCGTCAGATCAACTTGGCCTTGACCATCTCTTCCTTGGCGGAGCACGTGAAAAGCTGCCAAATTTCCTATTGTAACCTTCAGGACGCGTCAGTGAACATCAAACCTAAATATGCTGCGCGATTTCGAGAAGGTTTAGACAATATCAGAGTCCACATCATCGCATCTTGGCGAGACCTTGGTTCTTATCTGCATGACGTCCTGTCTGTTGGCGACGAAATCCGCCTATGTTCGCTGGATGTCGACTCCAAGTCTTTGAAGGATTTCCATCAAGTGGCGTGGATAATCGCCAAGGTGATGAATATGGCACAGAAACTTTCTGATGCCAATTCGACTTCCCAAGAAACCGTGAACCGTCACAAGGCATCTATTACGAAACTCCTGCTTTCTGATTCGTCTTCTCGGCGAGGAAAGGTGGGATCGCTTGTGACTGGGCATTTCCGTTCCACAAGTCAACCTGCCTGTAAGTCGTCAATAACAGCCCACTCGCCTGACACTCACAACTTCGTGTCCTCATCAGTCGATGATAAATCCGACTCACGCAGTCAGTCTTCTGGGCCCAATCGCAAATCAGATTGTCGAAGGGACGCCGAATCTTTGACAAGCCTAGAGCAATCACTTAGGGAGATTGGCTCACGGCTGGATGACATGGTCAAATTCTGGGGCAATCGGCACGCCGTATTCCACTCCTTCGTATACGCAATGGATCAGTGTGCAACCAACCAACCGATTGAGCACTCCTGGGTAGCTGATCGAGAATCAATTGTATCCTCTATCACGTCTACGATAATGTCTTGTGATACTCTGGAAGCGGTCTCGCTGGATAGCCCCCTTGTCAAGAGGTCTCACGGAGATCAACTCATTGTCATATCTCGATGACCTGAACACAATCCTCTAGAGGTCTCGTACAACTGAGAGAGAATTAGTTGCTTTTCTTTACAGGGAGCTGGGCTCCATACAATTTTCCGCTGTCCCCGTGATTTGTACTGTAAATACGTGGGCTACAATTTGCCAATGTCATAACTCGCGAAAGTGAATACTACCTGGTCTGTGTGCGTGTGTGACAAGGCTGAGCTACGCACGTCGCACGGTTAGTGAATTCATTTAGTATGTGACATAATAGAAGGTACAAAAAAAAAGTTGCTGTTTGGAATGCGTTTTGAAAGCCAGTGAAAACTGCTAAAAATTCTGAAAGCTCATCACAGTTGCAGCTGGACCTATTACATGCATATGCTTGAAACGTGAGTTTATATAGATAACGTGACTTTCACATGACAGGGCTATTTTCATTTCGCATGAACAACAAACAAAAACATCCTCCAAGAGTCCGACACTGCGCTCAAACAACGTTCGCACAAATGGTTTGTCGTCTTCTCCGAGCTCTCAGCTTTTTGTTAAATGAGTGCCACAGGCAGCGACAACTTCTGCGAACATGTCCTTATTATCCCACTCTAATGTCACATCAGCTGTATCAGCGACGGCAACAGTGCCGATGCCTGCAGAACTAGAACAGACTTTGGCCCTTCTCTCATCACATCGCTCAGTACTCGGATACATGCTCTTATCACGAGGACAGCCAGTCAGCATCATCAGGCATTCAGGGGTCATCTTTGAGGGGGAACAAGGGAGGAAATATGCTAGTATGATAGGAAGGATCGTAGAAAGTGTACAGGGCGGGCTTGAGGAAGTTTACGGCAGTGACAACAATGGAGTGAGTGTTTCTCTATACATATACATATGGGTGTAAATTATTTGTGTCGATCGACAGGACGATGTGCGGTTCATGAGAATACGAACGAAACGTCATGAAATTATGATATCTCCCGGTGAGTGCACCTTCCACCTCCATATACTATGCGGGATAGGATCCAACCTGTTTCCATTTCTGCAGATGAGCGATATCTACTCGCAGTCCTCCATGATCCGGCGACATGATTTACTGTTCGTTTCTTCGCATACAATACCTCAATCCTACTGGAAGTATATCGATGGCTGATTTCGCTCATCAGGGAAATAAAATAAAATACTTACTAAACCTAGAGCCGCTCATTTCTTGAATAAGTTAGAAAAGCTGCTTCAATAATAGGTTGCGAAAAAGTGAGCTCAATAAAATTGAAAATAGGCCACGTCAAGACGCTAGCGCTAGTAATTACGTTAAGATGAGGGTAAGCACTACTTCGTTTATTACTATTTCTCAAAAAGTTCTTTTCATTGCGAATTTGTGCCGAAGACACATCTCTGGTGACGTCCTTGGAATATATCGCTGCGAAGGGCCTGAGCGTAGCGCCGATGAAAATCAATATGTGAGGTCTTGCCTGCGATGACGACTGAGACAACACCGAGCAAAATATTCTTGCACGCCTTAGGGTTTTCTATGGCTCTGGCCCCTCGGTCGTTTCTTTCTTGCCTTCGTTTCTCTCTTGGAATCATTTTTACTAGTAGCCAAGTGACATCATGATCCCGCTCAACATAAAGTTCAGTAACGTGGCGAGTCTATCTCTTCAGTTCGGGAAGCACAATGAATTAATAGCGGCATCATCATACCCATATGCACACCGACATGACATGACGCTGAGAATGTAATGGAAGTCACACCCCATGCATACCCCGCAATGTCGACAGCACGGGCACCAGTCCTCAATTCCCAAACACTGATTGGCAGCCTAAACTGGAGAGAATCATTTTCAGAAGAGAGTGCAACCGACTGCAGGCAGGCCTCCATAGTAGGCTCATGAATGACTAACCCAGTGACACCTGTTGTTACACCCAGAATACCCCGAATATCAAGTGATCCAGCGTCCGCTGTGGTGTCCCAAACTCGAATGGATGTATCCTATTCGTTTCGTTGGCCTCTCTTCTTCTATCTGTCGTGACAGATAGGCCATACTTAACCAGTCAGATAAGGGAGCTGCAGATCGCGGCTCGATACGCATAATTATCGGTGGTGAACAGATCGTTGTGTCCCCGATGATCAAGAAGCGCAGTTTGGACCGAAAGGCGCAGTGGACGGGTGTTAAAACTAGATGTCTGAGCTGTCTACTTTACCCGATGTGAAATTAATATGCCTGATGCACGAATGCGGCTGAAAACACAGCAGTCAATCCGTGATCATCGCAGAGAAGGAAGCGTATGATTCAATAACTATAACCTTACGGGGAATTAAAATGGGACAAATAATGAGCACTTGAACCCGCGAAGTGCGTGGTGAGGTCGTTCGCGTTCACAATAACCGAAGGCATCT